TCACTTGTCCTCACTCAAAGTCATTTTTAATATTTTTCGATTTTTGACAAAAAAAATTTTCAAAAAAATTTTTATTCCAGAAATCAAAAAATATAAAAAATTATCTTGGTTCACTTGTCCTCACTCAAATATTTTTTATTGTTCCATTTTTGACATAAAAAATTTTCAAAAAAATTTTTATTGCAGAAATTGAAAAATATAAAAAATTATGTGAGGTCGAGTCAGTTAGTCTTTTTTTATACTTTTCGATTTTTTAATTCTAAATTATTATAAAATGTACTAAATTGTAAGCATGTCAATAGTTTTTTTCAGCACCATCATTTTTTGTCACTTTTTGAGGGGGTCGAGACTTAGAAAAATTTCAAAAAAAAAATTCGTTACATTCCCGGACCTACCCCTTTTTATGCAACTCGACGAGAGGAAAAAAAAGATCCTTTTCGCCATGCCTCTATCTCTCGTCCTTTGACCTGTAGAGGTCGTTATTGACTATTGAGAAATTTTCAAAAACTCCCAAAACTAAACGGCTGGAGATAGAGCCATGGTGAAGAGGACCTTTTTTGTTCCTCTCGACGAGTTCCATAAGGAAAAATTACCACCAATTCCAAATTATAAAAAAAAATTCTTGTTAATTTTGTAAAAGTTCACAGGCTAAACGATGCGAGATAGGAAGTTGGTGCAGAGGACCTTCCGTGTTCCTCTCGTCGAGTTCTATAAGGAAAAATTGCCACCCATCCAAAATTCAAAATAAAAAGTTTATTTAAAAAGTTTCAAAAAGTCCACAGGCTAAACGGTGCGAGCTAGGAGGTTCGTGCAGAGGACCTTTCTTGTTCCTCTCGTCTAGTTCTATAAGAAAAAATTGCCACCCATCCCAATTTAAAAAAAAAAATTCTTTTTGAATATTTTAAAAAAGTCCACAGGCTAAACGGTGCGAAATAGGAGATTGGTGTAGAGGGCCTTTCTTGTTCCCCTCGTCGAGTTCTATAAGGAAAAATTGCCACCCATCCCTAATTCAAAATGAAGTTTTTTTAAAATTTTCAAAAAGTCCACAGGCTAAACGGTACGAGATAGGAGGTTGGTGCAAAGGACCTTTCTTGTTCCTCTCGTCGAGTTCTATAAGAAAAAATTGCCACCCATCCCAAATTAAAAAAAAATTCTTTTTGAAAACTTTAAACTAGTCCACAGGCTAACCGGTGCGAGATAGGAGGTTCG